AACCTTTATTCAAATATACTTAGAAAAACAGCCTATCGTTCGTAAAGTAGAAAGATGGATCGTTAGGTGGACTTAAATGTACATGGGAACGGTTCCGAGTTAGATTTTAAGTAGCTCTTAAAATTTCCATATTCAAAGAAGCCATTAGAAATTATTTGGATCTTATAAGTGGCTTTACGATATCGAATTAAATCGAATTTCGTTTTTTATTCGAGATCTTTTTCGATCGACTTTTTTTTTTTTTTTTTTTTTACATACCGAATTCCATATCAAAACAAACAATGTCCTTACGATATAGAATTCTCTCAAGAATATTTTTCGAACGATAAAATACGATTTTAACCGTATCCACAAATCCATATGTACGCTTCATTATCTGATAGGAAGAAAAGATAAACTTTTATCTCGATAATGTAATGCGTCCAAACGGAAAGTGTCGATCAGGATTATGGTGAAGTATAGTGACTTTTTTTTCCCTTTTTTTTTTCTCGATAAATCCCCAACAGACAAATCAATTTCATTTTTAAGGGACGAATTGTTGTTCTCACCTTTGCGATATATTTATTTACTTTTGAACTAATATCCTAAGAGAGGAGGTCGAGAGAGGGAAGACACAATTTTCTTAAAAATCATCAATGACGAAAAGGGTATCGAATGGCATGTCGTTCGAAAGAACTTTTAATTTTATTTACAACGGTGTTTATTTTTTTTCTTTTCTTTTTTTTTTTTTTTTTTTTTTTTTTCATTTTTTTTTTTTTATATTTCCCAGTAAAATGCATTTCGAGTTTCACATTGAAAAACAATTTTTATTTTATTAAATATTCGAAATATTTATCGTCGAATTCGTATCACCATGCAATAATGGAATTTTTTCTATTTGGTACATTCTGCAATGTAATGAATCGAACATTCTGCAATGTAATGCGGTGAATATATGGGGTTTTACGATATTGAATAACGAAATAATAAAATACAAAAATTATTAATCCAATCTTTTTATGAAATAATTTAATCGATGACTTACTTTTGATTAATTATTCGAAATGACCTAAATATATCAGAATCCTTTTTTTTTTTTTTTTTTTTTTTTTTTTTTTTTTTTTTTTTAACATAATGGAGCTTCTCTTACGCTAACTTTCAGTAAAAAAAAAGTTTCAGGGTTTTCAAAAGAAGTGATATATATATATATATATATATATATATATATATCACTTTCTAAGATGAGAATAATACGAATTATTAGAATTCTTATTGGATTTTGATCTTTTTCCTTTGGAAATCGATATTTGAACACGATGAAGGAACGAACTGTTTATCGGTGTCATGCTTATACATTAAGATTTTATTTATTAAATTCCATTCAATGGGATGAGTGAAATTGGAACGAAAGATCGAGTAATTTAAGAATATATGAAATCGATTAGAGATCATGAGATAAAAAGGGACGTGATATCCGGATAAAGGGAGGAAAAAAAAGAATAAGGATAGATGAAGTGGATAGAAGAAAAAAAAAAAGAAGAAAAAGAAAAGAAAAAGAAAATATTGGAAAAACAAATACGGTCAAATAATATTTCTGTATTTATCCCTAAGTGTATAGTTTATTTGCACTTACGAACTAGATGTTCGAGTATTGTTTCGTAGCTTACATCTGAGCGATGTTTGTTCGAAATGTAAGTAGAGAAGCATTTTTGTATAAGTCTAAAAAGGATGTAAAATGTGAGAAATGGAAGAATGAAGAAAAGAAAAAGAGAAAAAAAAGAAGAAAAGATTCGATTGATTTCACGATTTCTTGTAAAAGGCCCGTGTGTCGTATCGTTAATAAACGAATTATACGATTTACATAAGAATACAAAACGCACGAAACAAAAAATGCATAGCATATGCATTTATACCGTAACAAGTAAATACGTAGTCTTTTTTTGATTTTATCATTTTTGTTTTTTTTTTTTTTCCTTTTTTTTCTGGGGAGTTTTTCTCTTTCTTTTTCTTTTTTTTTTTTTCGTTCTCCTTATCTTTTTGTTTTCTTCTTTTCTTTCTTTTACAGAAAAATTGCAAAGATATGTACGCGTATATACAACTGGTATTCTCGTTTCGTTAAGAGATAATCATAGACGACGAGAGAGACCAAAAGAAAATATCATATCGTGGAGGCTTTACCAGCTCTCGAGTTCCTCGTAAACGTATAGAGTAACGTTCGTTCTCTATGAAAGTTTCATTGGAAGACGTGAAGTTTTTTTCAACCCTAAAGCCGCAGATCGATATTCAACGCATTTTACATGATTCCAATTTGAATTCAAACCTGTACGGGAAAATATTTTCTTGGTGTATTCAAAAAAAGGTAGAAAAATGCACACACATATATGTATGTGTGTGTGTGTGTATGTGGGTGGTTTGATTTAAATTAATATACCTTTTATTAAGCCGACGTATTTATCGTAAATATTGTATCACGTAAATAAATAAATTTAATTCGAATTTCCCTTTTTTAATATATTTACAGGAAACATGGTGCAAAAGATGGTGGCACTTTTCGCAAAGGAACATATCAATAACGGCGAGATCGTTCGAACCAAATCTGACTATGATTCTCATGAAGAATACTCATGCCTCGACCGCTACGAAGGACAAAAGGGAGAACACAACTGCGACATCCGTCACTGAACCATCTGGTAAGTTTCATATATTCATAAAAATATTATTATGATATATATATATATATATATATATATATATATATATATATTCCCTTTATATTGTTTCTAAGAAGATTTATCGTAATAGTACGAACGTTACAAGTTTCCTTTTCAGCTTTACATTGTACAAGTAACAAATCACAGGAGAGTTCTCTAAGAAAATGGATTTTCCTTTTCTATCTCCCACTCAACAGCCATCTCCCTCCCCTTATCCTGCCACTCTTCCGCAGGTCAATCCACAATTCATTGTGTTTTCTTAAGAAATATACGAGCAAATTCGATCTGTCTTTACGGCAAATGGAAAAAAAAAAAAAAAAAAAAAAAAAAGAAATAAGTATTAGGGTCAATATTTCGAGAAGTAAATTGGATTATGAAGTTTAGAAGAAAAAAAAAAAGGAAGAAAAAAAATGTTCCATTACGATTTAAGCATCAGAATCAATTTTCTGGAATTTCGAAATGTTCGCATACCGTTCATATAAAGGTGCATATACATCATCGTTCCTAGAGGTAAGTAAATCTTCGTGGATATTAATTTTACATCGTCTGACCTACTCTGCAGAAAGTGCAACGTCGCTAACTTCCATGCCGAATAATGGATATCCTTTATTCCCATTTTATCGTCAAATATTATCCTTAAGCTCTGAGAAAGCCTATCTTATCGTTTTTCTTCCTCCCCCTTTTTTTCCTTCCCCCTTTTTTTTCTTCGCGTCCTTTTTCGTTCTCATATAGGACGGATCAAAAAATTTTCTAATCTTGTAGTTTTACACTCCAAGGAAGAAGGGAACGAAAAACAAAACGAAAAAAAAAGAAAAGGGAAACAGAAACAATTAGCTTAAAAAGTCTCGAAGAAAAGTAATCGACTTTCCTTTTTTTTTTGTTTTTTTTTTAATCACTTTAAAAAAAAAAAAAAAAAAAAAGAACTTTTGGTCTATTTCTGAGACCTATTTCTTTACTCGAAATTGAACGATCGAATTGTTTGTTTCATCGAATTCGTAAAATATCAAAAAAAAAAAAAAAATTTTGGACGAAGATAAGCGATAATATTTTTTTTTCGTAGGATGGATAGCGTTCTATTTGTAAAAGAACGAATGGTATATCAATGATGGGAAAGATTTTTATTTAATCATCGAATAGAGAAAAAGTCAATAATTTAAATACGATTGTAGACACAACAAATGTGTGAAATTTTTTTTATTACAGTTGATTATCATCGGGACTAGCGCTAATCTTAATCAAGATAAACTATATGAAGGATGTTAAATTTGTATTATAAACGTATAACGACAGAGTTACGATGCATTTGGACGGCATTTTAATTGTCGCAATAAATATGCTAATAATTCGTTGAAAATTTCTTCGATATTGTCTCTAATGTTTCGTCGCACACTTACGTCTACGTAAATTTTTATATTTCGTGATAATCATGAAAATTTATTCGAATTTGGTAATTTAGCAATGACCGTTGATTGTAAAATTTAAATATTACACATTATAGTTATATTTATGCGAGAGCAAAAATGACTTTTTTTTTTTCCTTTTCTTCCTTTTGTTTTGTTTTTTTTTTCTTTTTTTTTTTTTTCTTTTTTCTTTTTCTCACAACGAAAATATCAAATATACATTTTAAATATTACATATCTTTTCTTTTCTTTTCTTTTCTTTTCTTTTCTTTTTGTTTCCCCGCACATATATGACTTTATAAAAGAACATTGGATTGAATATTTCTTTTTCTTTTTCCTTCTTTTTCCTTTTTTTGATCATAGACACACCCCTTCGAGTAAGAGGAAGTAGAAGAAGAAGATTGATCTATGAGAAAATATTGCCTAACCCGTATATCTCAAGAGGCCTCGAAACGTTGACTTTGATTATCCATTCCATTTAGACTATCTTCGAGTACCTCAAACTCTTCAAACTCCATCTTTCCAAAATCACTTCCGTTCTTCAAATGATTCTCGTTCACCTGCCACCTCGTCAAAGCGCTCTCGTTAAATCTAGGATGAAAAGTTGATTTAGTATCTTTGTAATTTCCTATCTTGAAATCGGCCTTAAAGAGTTTCGTAATATCCCTTAGCTCATCTTTTTTTGGTTCCAATCCAATAACGACAGGTGGTTCTCTTTTCGTTTCGATAAGATCTTTTTTCTCTCTTATCTTTTCCTCATCCTTATCCTTAGCGTCAATACTAGTAATCTCGATACTTGGGGTCTCCGCTATTGTACATTGTCTCAGATCAGGCGTCACATTTCGATTTGTAATTCTTGATTGCCTTTCAACAAGCCTACCGGTAAGTTCGAGCCTACTGTCGCATGAGTTGCTCTTAACGAGTTTAAATTTAACATAATCGTTCGTCGTCCGATCGATTCTTTTTAATCTGTTTTCGATCAATGGCGATACAATCGGTCCGTTACATGTGTTTACTACTTTGCCACCGTAATAGGTTACCGATGTACCACATTCACGTATTTTTTTCAAAACATCTTGAGACACGTAATGACCTGGTCCACTTTCGTCCAAACCATCGTCATCGTAATGGCAATCTTCGTCCTCCGAGGACGTGCACTGAACTCCACTACCAGGATCCGTGTCAGGATAATCACTGGAAACACCTGAACTAACACTTCCAGTGTCCCAATTATGATTATGATGCTGCTGTTGGTGTTGCTGCTGTTGCTGTTGCTGTTGCTGCTGCTGCTGCTGCTGATGATGATGATGATGATGATGATTATGCTGATTATGCTGCTGATGATAACTTCGTGAAACTTTGTTCTTAGACGAATTCGAATCGCACGGCGAGCTATGCCCGCTTCTAGCTTCGAACGATTGTGCTAATATTCTTGTTTTTGACTCGCTTCGATTAACACCCGAGTCAGATTCATCCTTACTTCCAATTATTGATACGGACGAGGACGTTGACTTTTCCATGCTCTCGAACATTCTGGTCAGATCTTTAGCTCGGCTTGAACATCTAAATAATAAGGGGGAAAAAATCGAGAAAAATTGATTAAAAGAAAGTTAATATTATCGATAAACGATATTAAAAATTTTTAACATACCTGGATATTTCTTCACCCTTTTCCAATACTTCCTCGAAATGAGAGTCCGAATCGATACTAGTGAGATCCTTCATGCTAACGCTCTTTCTATTTTTACAATCCCTGTCGACGCCCAATTCGGTTGAATTTTTTTTCCTTAAGGTATCCTCGAACATACGTCTAACGTTTCTAACCGTATCGGGATCAGGTAATTCTTCATCTATCAATTCTCGATTAACTCTTATAGGATGATAAAAGAAATGTTTCTTTATCGAGGATTGTTTAACGATTTTACAATTTCCCTCGCACTTTTCATTAGTATTATTTTCTTTTTCAATATCATCCGTCGTCTTTTGTGTCATATCAGAAATTTTGCTGATTGGATCTGATCTTCCCTTTCCAATCGTCTTCTTAGATGACTTTCTTTCGATTGGTTCTGCGCGTACAGGTTCGATGATAACAACGTTGTTATCCAAAAGAAGTTCCTGGAATGAGTACTCTCGAAGATACTGCATTAGACCGTCGTACGTGACGTCACCTCTTGCACTGCTGTACATATTTTTACTGAATACGTTCGACTTAACGATCTTGTAACGAACGTGATCGAATTCTTGAGTATCGTTCGGTGACTCGATCGAGTCCGCGCAACTCTTCGATCTCGTTAAATTGCTGTAAATTTTTTTCCCATCATTCTCGTTGCACAACGTAACATCGTTCTTGGTACGGATTATACTCGAAGGATCCCCGTCGTCTATCGATCTTCTTCTCGTATCAGTTTCGATCTCAGAACCCAAGCCAAGATCAGAACTTTCTGATCGAGCCTCAAAACCTAAGCTACCCTTTACCACGTTACAAGCTTTGCCAAGTATGTTAGACGTCTCCTTAACTATTCTCTCGAACCTGCCTTCTATCTGTTTAGTCTTTCCAACAGCTTTCACGAAAGTATGATTCTCGAACACGTTCTTTATGTTTTCTATCGCGGATCCTGGTTTCTCCTCTTGAGAGACGACGTTCTGTAAAAGAGAAGTAAAGAAAAGGAAAAAAAGAATATATATATATGTAAAGAGAGAGAGAGAGAGAGAGAGAGAGAGAGAGAGAGAGAGAGAGAGAGAGAGAGAGGGAGAGAGAGAGAAGAAAAAAAATGTATAGAAAATTCCAAATCAAGACTACTTTCTAATAGTTTCTAAGAATAGACAAATCATCGATTTCGATTATTGAACGTACATGAATCGTCAAATTTCCATCGACGTCATCGTTACTTCTATCAGATTTCGTTTTAGATTCGTAAGACTTCTTATATTCCTTTCTAAGGTCTTGGGCTACCTCACAACTTGTGATATCCTCGTCATGAATATCGATTTCGATTGAACGACGATGATGCGGTCTCTTCGTCACGTCGTTATCGACCACTTTAAGGATCTGAGGTCTGCGCGACATCTCTTCCTGTTCCTGTTCGTCGTTATCTGAAATCCAAATTGTCGTAGAATCCTCCTCCTCCTCCTCGCTTTCACTTAATTTACGATTGATATTCTCTTCGCTAGATGTCACCAAAATTAAATCCGATCTACAATTATTTTGATCAATTCTCAACAACAATGACGATCTATCGTCCTTCCTTCTTCCCTGTTCGTCGCTGGTCGACGTTGAAATCACCAAATTTCTCTCGTTTTCTAAATTCTGCAATGACTCCGGACTATTTTCACCTTGATCCTGTCTTTTTAAAAGAACCGACGATGATAATTCACCCTTTGATTCCCACTTGTTCGATTTGAAATCTTCTTCGTCTACTTCCTCTTCCGCTTCCTCTTCCAATTCTTCTTCGTCTTCTTCGTATTCTTCCTCTTCGTCTCTTTCTTCGTCTTCTTCGTCTTCTTCGTCTACTTCGTCTTTCTCGATCGTAACAATTTCCGGCTTAGTCGTAGCGTGACGTTTACATTTCTCCTTGTCCG